AACCATCCTGTCCTGTTTTTGTAAATGTTTTGATATTGTCTGCTGTCTTCGGGGTGTTCAGTAGTTATTTTTCTCATTTATTGATTGTATATTTGTTTGTTTTGTCCTTTTTTTAAATATAGCTATGTCTGAGCAGGCAGGCTTTGTGTTCTTTGTTGTTTCCTCATCTGTGGGCACGATACTTTTTGCCTCCTTCTCCAATTGGCAGGGTCAGTTGCTCAGATATGGTACAGCGGGGCAGGTCTAGCTGAAGGGGAGTTACTGGGATGGGTTGTTTGTAGTACTTACAGTAGCCATCAGGGTTGGTTGGCAATCAGTGCAGGGCAGGTTCCGGTAGGCTGTGCCTGTGCTGCTTGCTGGTGTGATGTTAAGTGCACGGTGGAGGTAGGCAGGATGTAGTGGGGAGATTGTTATGTGTGGAGCTAAGATGGATATGGGAGATAGGAACAGGAGCCAAAAACATACAAAGAAACAAACATACAAGAGTGCTAGGGGAACTTGCCATTGGAGTGGAGAGTTGACAGACTATGAAATGGAGAAAAACCAAAAGGGGAAGAAGAAGAAAAAAAAAATGAGAGAAAAGAGAAGAATGAATAAAAAATCGTAAAGGAAAAAGAACAGCAAATCTCCCAGGGATCCCACCGGTGCTGCTATGAGGTCTGGGGAAGTTGTTCTCAGATGTTGCAGTACAGCCTGGCTAGAAGGCCTAGAATTATTCAGCACCAGGTATTCAGGGAACAGGAAAGACAAGGAAGGTATAGAAAGACAAGAAACTGAGTAATGAAGAAAGACAAAAAGGGAAAAAGAGGGAAAATAAAACAAAACAAATTTAAAAAAAAGAAAGAAACAAGAAAAACCCCCCAAAAAACAGAAGGAAAAAAAAAAAGAAACCCATGAAAAAAGAAATGCTCTCAGGGATCCCTCTGCACCTCTGCGCAAGGTGATGGGTTAGGTCCCAAGCCACGCAGCACCGCCTGGCCAGAACAGCCACCCAACTCAAGAAAAGGAAAAGAAAACAATTCAAAACAAACAAACAAAAGCCCAGGGATCCCACCAGCATGGCAGCCTGGACCGGGAAGAAGTTCCACACTCAAACAGAACTCCGCAGCCCCTCAGGAAGAAGCAAAGATGGCACACGGAGCCAGGTATTTGAGCGAAAGGAGGAGGCGGTGAGAGGTAAGGAAGAAATCAAAAGAAGCGGAAAAAAGCAACACCAGCAGCCAACATATGGCACTCAGAGACCTGGCCAGTGCGGGAGGATGGAATCCAGGCAGCCGGTGCTTCCCAGACAGGAGACTGTGGCTGCGGGAAGCAGAGGAAGCCGAGTGGGGGTGAAGAAGGGTGGGGGGTGGGAAAGTATATATCTCAAATTACCGATTGTTTTGTCTCCCACTGGAAGCTCCATGAAGCTGCTTTCTCATACCCCCTATTTGCTGGTCTCTGATAGGAGTCCAAGATGGCGGATCTGCACTGCTTTAGCTGATAGAGGACCTCTGCATGAATCTCTCCTCACTCTCTGTTCTTTGTCAGTTTTCTCAGTCCATTTGGTGCTTGGCTGAGTTCTTTATCTTTTCATTTGATGTTTTAGGGTTTCAGGATTGCTGTTTTCTCTGTTTGGCTTAGTTTTTCAGACCTTTGCTGTGGAGGGACGGCGGGGCGCTTCTGCCTAGAGTGCCATTTTGCCGGAAGTCCACCCTGATGTTCTTGATGTGTTCATTTATAAAGCAGTGTCACATTGTGTCATGGATTGAATTATGTCCCCCCAAAAATGTGTGTATCAGTTTGGCCAGGCCATGATTCCTGGTATTGTGTGGTTTTCCTATATGTTATAAATCCTGCCTCTATGATGTTAATGAGGGAGGATGGGCGGCAGTTGTATTAGTAAGGCAGGCCTCAGTCTACATGATTGTATTATATCCTGAGGCAGTGTCTTGAGATATAAAAGACAGAAGTGAGCAGTGAGACAGGGGTCTTCATACCATCAAGAAAGCAGTGCCAGGAGCAGAGCACGTCCTTTGGACCAGGGTCGCTGCACAGAGAAGCTCCTAGTCTGGGGGAACACTGAAGAGAAGAAGGTCGACAGAGAGAAAAAGCCTTCCCCTGGAGCTGATGCCCTGAATTTGGACTTTTAGCCTACTTTGACTGTGAGGAAATAAACTTCTCTTCGTTAAAACCATCCACTTGTGGTATTTCTGTTATAGCAGCACTAGATGACTAAGAGACATTGTAAGGCATAAACGTTAAAAAAATCAAGGATTTGAGAAGCATTTGACTCCTCACTACAACACCTAAATCCATTTCAATATTATGCGATAATCTGAGAAACAGAGCTGAATCAAACCCTACTATATTAATGGATTTATATGTGTGCACATAAGGCTAATATATTTTATGCTGCCAGTTTTTTTATGGTTTCATAAATAGTGCTATCAGTAACGTTTAAAAAAAGCTGAAGAAAAGAGCTCATATGTGCTGGTAGAAGAAATTCAATGTGTTTTGTAGAACACTGCTACTCTTGATATAGCCTGCGGGATGTGACTTTTCATAAAAACCTAATGAATTTCTAGATTTGTCAGCTGTTTCCAAACAGATGCATTCTGCTAATCTAATGGAAACATTTTGAGCTTAGATCCCAAATATCAATAGCTTTTAGTATTGCAAATTAGTTTGTCTATTGGGTAAATTGGGCTATGTGGTTCTTGATAAAAAGTAGCAAGTAATTTTGTGTGCATGTTTTATGTTTCACTGCCTTGCCAGGGTTTGATGCTCATATCTTTTCTTGCAGAGTTTTAAGTTGAATGTAGACAGTCACTGTGCTCTCAAGGAAGCTGTGGAGGAGGAAGGACACCAACTTCTCGAGCTTTTTGCATCTCACAAAGCAGGTAAATCCTCCTGAAATATTGCGAGTCTTTATGTCTCCAAACTATTAAGAATGAAGAAGCATTGCTGTAAATTACTGCATATATTCACTTCCTTATGTATTATTAATATTTACATTATCAGATTGACCTTCAAGATTTATAAATGTTTCATATACCGCATACAATGCTGTGATACTTCTAAGGTGAAATACTACCTCCAAATGGTCTGTTCATTTTATTTTGGGCTTGCTGTTCACCTGAGTTTCAACTGAAATCACATTCCTGAAAACTTTGCATTGACATGCTTTTAGATGTAGGTGCCCTGGAAATAACATTAAGATAATGAATGAGAATCATGCATAGAGTTATACATGCATATGCATTAGGGTGCTTATAGATATCATTACAGATATAAGGCAAGCAGTCTAGAGATATCTGATTATTTCCCTGCCAATTCACGCCCATGAACACTTTACGTGGTCTTTGCTGGTCATCGTGTTAGCAGAGATTTTAGTCTTAAACCAGTTCTTACCCCAGCATTAATGTATCTATGAGGAACAGATTATAAATAAAAAATAGTTTTGTCATTTGGTTATACTTATCCTGGTAGTAAAAGACCTGAAGACAGGATGAATTATAATTTGGCTCTTGTTCAGAGCTTACCACAGCTAAATAGAAGAGCAGCATTAATCAGATGTGCTAATGCTAAAGTCTTAATTCTGGCCCATTTACTGTATTTCTCACCGAATTAACTTTACCTATTTCCATACATCTTTCTGATTATAAAGTCTCCACACATACGCACAGGGCCTTTTATCTAGAATGTGAAGCTAAAGCATTATTCATTTTTATACATAATGATTTTGTTCCACATGCAAGTTTTTCAGTCAATACGTTGAATCTAAGTAGATACCCAAATATGCATCTACGTAGTTATCCCATTTTTGTGACTTTATGCCTTATGTCAAGTCAAGAATTGCCAGTCCCTATTCTGAGTGACAAATGTTAACATGACAAGTGTTGGTAATGGTAGTTTAAAAATATGCATATTGTTTGAAATGTCTACCTTATTTACTAAATAAAAATAACAATGTGTAAAGATGCAGTCAGGTCCATGACTTGTGCTTTTTCCCTCCTCTTGGAGAAGGACTGAAGGACATGCTGCGGATGATTGCAAGTCAATGGAAGGAGCTGCAGAGGCAAATCAAACGGCAGCACAGCTGGATTCTCAGGGCTCTGGATACCATCAAAGCTGAGATACTGGCTACTGATGTGTCTGTGGAGGATGAGGAAGGGACTGGAAGCCCCAAGGTAAGTGGCTTGAAGTTTCCCTTATTTTCTCTTATTTCTGTCTTCTTTTGAACTAGGCATCACTGAAGTTTTCTTTCCACCCCTAAGGCTTTTCATTTCTACTGGGTAAACTTTAAATATATATATTTGTGTGTGTGTGTGTGTGTGTGTGTGTGTGTATAAATATGGACACATATGGATACATACACACACAAAATGAAATGGCCTAGTTTAAAACAGTTAAAAAAAACAAACAACTTTCAAGTTTTCCAGGAAGATGTCTTTTCATGAAAGGTGACAGGGTAGGAGAGGGACAGTATTTTAGGGGTGGGAGAAAGGGGGACATAAAACATTTAGTAAACAAAACATAAAGCATCTTTAACATGAATAATCAGAATGGTTTTAAATTGTTTTGTTGCAACTATAAATCACTATAATCAGTGCAATCACTCAGCTCTGACATCCATTAGCCGCTTGGTTACAGCAAATTAACAAAGAAGAGAGAAAGTGATTCATTATCTCATTCCTGTTAATGACTATCAGATGCATTGCCTAATTAGGGGTTGGTCATTGTAATAGGAAGAAGGTCATATGCTTTGCTACAAATCTTTTTGCTTTGAGTATAAGTTCTCCATAATGGTGCATGCATCGAATACAACAAGTAGTTTAAAAATGAGTATTGACATGTTTTGGATGTCCATGTTAGATTTATAAAATAACCAATAAAGCATATGTAATGGAACTGTAAATGAGGCACCTTTTTGTAAAGCACCATGGTTCTAAAGGTCTCTTTGACTCACAATGTGGAAAATATTATTAGCTTTATATTTTCACGTAACGTCTCTGTTTTTTTTCTTTTATGCCTGTTCTTTTGTGAAAGTAAATGAAGAAAACTGGTCTGATAATAGACTTAGCATAGAAACATACTGTAACATTGGGAAACAGATTTAAGAGTTCATAGTTTTTATTCCCAGAATGGACAAAGTAATTAAATCATCATTGAATCACATTTCTTCAGCGTGCTTATGAGTTGGAATTGTGTTGAATGTATACAGAGCAAGTTAAACAAATACTTTGCCCTCTTAGACCCACATTCTTAAATGCAGGCAAAGAAGGAACCCAACCAGTGCTGTAAGGATGAGACTCATTCAGCCAGTGGAATGCTTGCAGAATTTACAGTTTTGGAACCTCGAACATCAACCTTTAACTTATTTGTTGGAAACAGGATAGAATGATGAGCTCATTTCCACTTAAAGAAGGCTCCGTGGAGGAGGTCACATTCAGGAAATACTTGAAGGAAGGAAGAGAGGTGGCTTGGCACTTGAACACATATTTTAGGAAGTGATGTGATGAAAGAATCAGAGCTGGAACTAATAATATGAAATGGAGAGTGTGTTGAGCAGACTTTTCAGGGCAGAAGTAGAACTATTTTAAGGAGCAGGCTGTAGGGAAAAGATGATTGGGCTAAGGCTTTGGCTATGGGGATGATGAGAAAGGACATAATTAAAAAGCCCACAGTGTTTTATTTATTTAACAAAAGCATATTTAGCCTACTTTTCAAATGTTATCCTGTACTGAGGGCATTCTATAGTCCAGATACTGTTCTAAAGCACTTATGTATATTCAGTCATTTAATTGTCACAACAAACTTGTAAGGTAGCTTTAGTATAATCTCCAGTGAAGAAAACAGAGACACAGAGAGGTAAAGTAACTTGTCTAACATCACATAGATACTAAATAGCATAGCTGGGATTTGAATCTGAGCCATTTGACCCCAGAATCCATGTTTATCACCATCTATAGCACTGTCTCTCCCTGGTATTCCTCAGGTATTGTACCACAGGCATTAGAGATGAGACATTAGCCTCAGTGCCTATCTCATGGAACTTGTGGTGATGGGGCAGACAGACTTTAATCTAATAATCATGCATTTATAGACCTTGATGTGCTGTGAAAGAAAACAAAAGGGAGAAACAAGACTTTTTGCCAGGAAAAGTACTTTAGAACAGGGCACCAGGGAAGGCTTCTTTGAGGAAGTGGCATTCTGTGTGAAGCCTATGTAGTTAAAGAGAGAGGGAAGAGTGTGCAAGGGGTGGAGACTGGAACTCTTACACACTTCTGGTGGGAAGGTAAAATGGTACAACCACTACAGAAAATGGTATGGGACTTCCTTAAAAAGCTAGAAATAGAAATGCCATATGATCCAACAGCCCCACTCCTAGGTATATATCCTAGAGAAATAGGAGCCATGACAAGAATAGACATATGCATGCACACCCATGTTCAATGCAGCATTATTTACAATAGCAAAAAGATGGAAACAACCTAAGCACCCATCAATGGATGAATGGATAAACAAAATGTAGTACATACACACGAATGGAATACTATGCAGTGATAAAGAATAATGATGAATGTACCAAACATCTCACAACATGGATGAATCTGGAGGACATTATGCTGAGTGAAATAAGTCAATCACAAAAGGACAAATATTGTATGAGACCACTGTTATAAACAGTAAAGAAAAGGTTTACATACAGAAAGAAACATTTTTTGATGGTTACCAGGGATGGGAGGGAGAGAGGAGGGAAATAACTGACTAGAGAGTAGACACATGTTAACTTTGGTAAAGGAAAAGGTAGTATACGATATGGGGGAAGTCAACACAACATGACCAAGGCAAGGGAAGACAGAGGTACACAAGAATAAAGGCAATGATGGTAAATACTATAACATATACAATTCTGCAACAACAGTAATAACAAACAATTTATGAGTGGATACATAGACAGATATGTATGCTGAATAGGTGTGAGAGGGCGTATGGGAGTACACCCATGTGCATATATAGGTTTGGCCATCGATATTTTTACATACCTACTTGTATGCTGCATGTATACTCATATATATGTAATAGACCACACAGGGTTCACAGTCAGGGAAACATCCTAGATATAACCAAACATCTCACAGGACTGAGTTACTGGGCTTGAAGGTGAAGTACCATAGTCTCAGGGAACATCTATGTCAACTGGCGTAACATAGTTCATAAAGACAACGTTCTACATCCTACTTTGTTGAGTAGTGTCTGGGGCCTTAAAATCTTGTGAGCGGCCATCTAAGATACAATATTGGTCTTTTTCCATCTGGAGCAAAGGAGAATAAAGAAAACCAAAGACTTGAGGAACCAATTAGTCCAAAGGACTAATGGACCACAGTAACTACAGCCTCCACTAGCCTGAAACCAGAAGAACTAGATGATGCCCAGCTACCACTACTGACCAGTCTGAACAGGATAAAAGTAGAAGGTCCTAGTTAGAATGGGGAAAAAATGTAGATAAAAATACAAATTCATAAAAAATACCAAATTTATTGGTCTGAGAGAGACTCGAGGAGCCCCCAAGGCTATAGCCCTCAGACACCCTTTTAACTTGGAACTGAAGCCATTCCTAGAGATCACCTTTCAGCAGAATAATAGACAGGCCTATATAATAAATAATAACACCAGTGAGGAAAGTGATCCTTAGAACAATCATCTGTATGAGAACAAAAGGGCAACATCTACCCAAAAGCAAAGATGAGAAGGCAGGAAAACTGGACGAATGGAATAGGGTACTCAGGGTGGCGGTGACAGTGCTGACACATTGCGGGGATTGGAACCAATGTCATGGAACAATTTGTCTAAAAACTGTTGAATGGGAAACTAACTTTCTCTGTAAACCTTCACCTAAAACACACACACACACAGAGTGTGCGAGGGGAAGCTGGGTGGGCAAGCAGGCCTGGTGGGCAAAGGGAAGGATCTAATGCGAAACTAACTTTCTCTGTAAACCTTCACCTAAAACACACACACACACAAAGAGTGTGCGAGGGGAAGCTGGGTGGGCAAGCAGGCCTGGTGGGCAAAGGGAAGGATCTTGGATTAAGCAGGGAAATTACGTTATTGATCTGCAATATAAAAACGTTTTCTGGCTATAGTGTAAAACATGAGTGGGTAAGCTGGGGTGAGGGTGGAGGTGTGTACTAAAGTGGAACTGCAGAGATGGTACAGTCACCTAGATTGGTGTAAGATTTATGTCAAGAATGAGTAGCTCTTTTTACAAGGTCATTTGGAACTTGATGCTTTAAAATCAGCTTATTTTGTATGGAGGTATTGAGATAGAGTGAAGATAACCCAGTGGCCAGATGAAAAGAGAGGGACAAAGAGAGGAAAGTATTATCAAAGGAGAAGCAATGTCAGTGTTTCTCAATAATGGTCTGTTTACTTAGGCCACACCTGAGACCAGATTAGAACTTCCTCGGTGGGGTCCCAGAATCTGCATTTCAGCAAACTCCCAGAGAACCACTGTAATAGGCACTTAGGCGGGCCCTTTTCCTAAAGGACTACATGATCTTCACACAATGTGAATGAGAGAATGTTTGTCACATTGTTATTTATGAAGGCAAACATTTGATATCCACTGAAATGTTTAAAACAGGAACTGTTTGATTAAATTATGCTATATCTTCTCCTAGTAGAAGGTTATACAGCCATTAAAAATATTTTCTGAGAGAGTTTTTAAAACATTGGAAAAGATCCTATTATACACAATTATATATACTTAAATACCTTTGTATTTTCTTAATCTCTGCAATGAGCTAGAATTATTATTATAATCAGAAAAGTAAAGAGTACATGTAAAGTATAAGAATTAAAAGGTGATTTAAAAGGTAAAAGAGATAACTTTGATCTGAGGGGACTTGAGGTATGAATTTAAGTATCTCAAGGAAATCATGCATCTGGCTCTTAATAGGCCTGTGTCTTAGGCTGGGTTCTGTAGAGAAGCAAAACCAGTACAGTGTATAAATATATATATAGAGAGAGATTATATCAAGGAAACAGCTCACGTGATTGTAGAGGCTAGAATGTCCCAAGTGCATGGATCAGGGTAGAGGCCTCTCCCAAGTCACACAGCTGCAGAAGCTGGCAAGTCCAAGATCTGAAGGTTGGAGAGCAGGGCTCCCACTCACAGGCTGTG